GGAGATTTAGGTTCCAGCCTCCCTCCTTGACCTGAGCAAGTCACTCCCCTGTGTCGGCGACGTGTAGAACGAGGAACTGGTGTGGGGCAATGAGAAGAACTAGGACATTGGAGTCAGGCCGACTTGAGCTCAAATCTTGCCATCTTGGTGGCTTTGGATAAGTTACTTAATCTGTCTGGGTCCAATTCCCATATTGGCAAAATGGAATTAATAATAATGCCAAAATGATAGACTTGTTGTGAGGATTAAATGGGAAAAAGAATGTAAAGTGTTGAGCAGACAATAGCTCGCATGGCTTGAGGGTTCAGTAAATATTGGCTGTTGTTATTTGTTGAGCACCTCCCCAGAGCTGGGTGCTGGAGATGCAGAGATAAGTAATACTCAGCCCAGGGGAGAAGGAAGGCCCAGAAACAGATAACCCTAAAGCAGGACAGAAGGCAGTCTGTCCTTGTGAAGAAGGAATTTGTATCCCCATTTTGCACAGGGGGAAATTGAGGTCCGTGGAGATGAAGTGACTTGACCAAGGTCACACCTAGGTAACTGTCTAGATAGACAAGGATGTGTTTGTGTTCTCTAGAGCCCTATAAGGTGGGAGCAGGGACTCCACAAAGAACTGGGGAAGCAAGTATGGGAAGAGGGTGGACTGGATCTGGAAGGCCCCAGGGCCCCAGGGGGGTTTGGACTAGACCCTACAGGCATTGGGGCCAATCAGTACTTCCTCTGTGTTTGTCTCTAGTCCATTCACTTTCTCTGTCCCCATGGCCACCATCAAGTCCTGGACTCTCTCCTGCTCTCCTAAACAACGGGAACGGCCTTCTCACTGGTTTTTCCCATTCTGCCACCTCCAGTTTGTTCTCCCAACAAAGTGAACTTTCTAAGACACGTGTCTGGTCACATTGCTCCCCTGCTTAGCACTGTTCAGTGGTTCCTCATCATCCCAGGATGAAACCGAAGTCCTTTGAAAAGCCTATAGGGTCCTGTAGGATGGGTCCTCTGCCCGACCCTCCAGTGTCATCATGTTCCAATCCTGTGAACTTCACACACACATACACACTGCACCCAAACCCCACTCACACTCTCACTTCCCCTTTCAGCTCCTGGTCTTTGCACGTACTATCCCCTCTACTTGAAACACCCCTCCTCTGGTCTCAGTACAGGCATTGCCTCCCTGGCAGGCCTTCCTAGAACTAAGCCAGGTCTGCCTCCTATGGTCTGCCATGGCCCCTATGTTTTTCCCTGCCACAACTCTTATACCCCTGCATTGAAGTCACCCTTTTACTCATTTCTTTACCCCAGATGGCAAACTCTTTGAGGGCAGAACTGCATCTCACATCTCCCACTGTGTCCTCAAGTCTTGGTGCAGAGCAAGCATTTAGAATATTTGTTTTGTTTTGTGTTTTTTT